AAAAAAAAAAAAAAAAAAAAAAAATTGGAAACACTGCATGGTAAATTAGGGGATGTGTGATTGGTATGTGTTGAGTCATAAGCTGACTACTACTACTGATAGGGTCCCTGAGTTCACTAGGGTATTCTGCTTTGCTGTCAGACCGATCTCTCTGATCGACGTTAGTTTATGGGTACTTTGGTCCCTTACAGCTCTGACCGCTACCTGTTGTGTTGTTTTGTTTTACTCTTCTTCCTCTTGAATACTGCTGCTTCTCACATACAAGGAGGTCTTTGGAGTTCTTGTTCTTTTCTGCAGTGACTGTTTCACCAGACATAGTTTCACGTACAGGTAAAAATGACCCGAGCTGACATAGGACAGACCAGATGCCTGGGGACCCAGATAGATCCTGTCAGTAGAGAAATGTAAACTATAAATTATCTTTAAACATGAAGCAATGAGCTAGCAATTAAATACAGAAGTCTAAGACGAGAAAGTAATAATAGAAAATGATAGAACTGTCTCGGCTGTTGCTAGGTTCCACTGAACCTGGACTGTGGTTCCCCTGTAAGGGTCGTGGGGACAAACCCTGAGGGCCTACGGAGGGGCGGCGTCTAAGAGGAAACCCCTCCTCACGTGGCAGCAGGTACGTCAGGTGGAAATGGGCCTTGCACTCCAGTTAAAGGAGTCTAAGACCTGAGCGGGGTAGAGAGACAAAACCATGGCCTTGCCTGTCATAAAACACATCGAAACATAAGGGTTATGAGAAGGTGAAAAAAAAAAGAATTGCTGGGATGTAGCATAGTTGTGCCACACCTGCCTGGCATGTGCAAGGTCCTGAGTTTGGTCTCCAGGACTGAGACAGAAAAAGAAAAGAAAGGAATCTAAAAAGCAAATACCACACCTAAAAATACCATTGTACTTACACGAATGTCAGAAAACAGACTGTTAGATAAAAAGCATTATTGAGTAGAAGACCAAGAGCACAATGATGAAAGGTTGCATCACTGAGGAGATAACTCTGAACTTACAGGTGCCTAATAATATGGCCTCAAAACATAGAAAGAAAAAGTTCATCACAAGGAGACTGGCAAATTGTCATGTTAAGCAATTTTAGACACCTCTCCAAGTAATTGATAGAAGAGTTAATTTTTTTAAAGCCGTAAATATATTTTAAAGTATATATTAAAAAGATAGTAATAAAAATATTTTAAAAGGAAGCATAACTGTTGACAGTTAATTGCATTGTAAGCTTGCTTTAATAAATTTGCATAAAATTTATTTGATAAGTGTGTATGATTTTTTTTCCCCAGTACTAAGGATTGAACCCACCCAGGGCAAGTACTCTACCACTGAGCTATATCCCCAGCCTTTTTAAATTTTGAGAAAGAGCCGGGCGTCGTGGGGCACACCTATAATCCCAGCACTCAGGAGGCTGAAGCAGGAGAACCTCTGTGAGTTTGAGACCAGCCTGGGCTACATAGTGAGTTCCAGGTCAGTCTCAACTACATAGTGAGACCCTTATGGGATGGCGTTGTAATTTTAAATTAGTCCCAACTGTGATTAATTGTGAGTTAATAGGTAACTGCTTGGTAGTTCTGGGAAACTAGATAGAGACTGTAACAAACGTAGAGACCCGAAGTAAATCACTCCACTCCTTGTTTGCCTGTAACCAAATGTTCCAAACCACAATCTATACAACAACGGGTAATCGATCTGCTGACTATTAGTACGTAACCGCCGAGTACGTGATTGATGACATTTGCCTTTGTCCCCTTCCCGTAAGTTTTGAGTGTTAACTCCCCCCATACCCCTTATAAAAACAGCCTCTGACTCTGAGCTAGTTGCCTCTCTGAGCTACTTGGCTCCGGAGTGCCTTCTAGCCAGACTAATAAAGGTCTTGTTTTCCAACTAGTCCGGTGTGTTCCTTCCTGGGTGATTCTTGCTGCTGCTTCTCAAGCTCCTGGAGCAATCGCTGGGTGATAGGCCCAGGATCTTGGAGGCCCTTTCAGCTGTTCAAGCTCCTTGGAGTGGAAGTAAGGCCTGGAGGTCTTACACCCTGTCTCAAAAAACCAATCAATCAATCAATAAAATTTTGAGAAAGAGTCTTACTAAGTTGCCCAGACTGGCTTCAAACTTGCCGTCTTTCTGCTCCAACCTCTCAGGTACCTGGGATTACCAGCATGTTCCACTATGTCCAGTTTAGATATGATTATTAAAGAAAAAAGCAAGACAAATAAGATCAAAGTGACCTACAGTCCTGCCCCACTCAGCCATGGTTAACAGCTTGTCAATTCATGAATGATCAGAAGACCCTGATAAAACACATCAGATTTTTACTCACATCCAGTGAAATGCCATTAACAGTCCCTATTTATGTACTTACGGAACTAGACAAAGAGATTCTAAAACAGAGATGGTAGGCCAAAAGTAGTCAAGATGCTAGTAAAATGAATACTAAGTTACTCCAGAGGTTGAAATGGATGTTTGGGTGGAAGATACTTACTCTAGAATTACTATAAAATGAAAATAGGACATGACAGTTTTATTTTATTTTTTAGGACATGACAGTTTTAGCAGAATATAGATCCCTAAATATTCTATGTGTGTAGAGAATTTACAGCAGTGACTTTCAATGAATTGAACAATTGACTGTGTAATAAATTGGGCATCTCTCTTATACTATGGAAAGAGACATAAGGGTAAATGCCAAAACTATATTATTATATTTTATATAAGTTCTTTAGCCAGTCATATAAATAAACAAATAAACAAACCTTAAGGGAAAAACCGATAGCATTAAGCCAGGCATGGTGGCGCAGGCCTGTAAACCTGTAATCTCTGCATTCAGGAGTCTGAGGTAGGAGGATTGTTGCAAGTCCAAGGCCAGCCTGAAATACACAGTGAGACCTTGTCTCAAAAAATAATATGTTAAACTTAAGAGATTTTTCCTAAAGAAAATGACAAAAGCTACAATGGGGGAAGATGTGTGCAATATAACATAATTAACAAAAGACTGGTATGAAGAAGATGTATGTAATAAAAGCATAATCCAGTTTTTTAAAAAAGGCTGAATACTAGAACAGGCCCTTCGGTGAGAGGAAAGACAGCTTATGAATCTAAGGCAAGAATTTGCCCTCATGCGGCGTAGAAGTGCAGAGGAGCCACCACGTGCCTGCTCCCTAGTGCTTTGCTCTGGCAGAGCAGCAGGAACCTGGCTCTCAGTCAGTGCCGCTGAGGATGTGGAGCAACTGGGCCTCTGAGGTGCCTCTGCTGGGGTGCTCATTATAGTTTGAAAACAGTTTGGTGCCGGAAAACACATTTCTTATCCTGATTATGAACCCTAGAGGAGTTCAGCTCATGCATATTAGAGGACATGCAAAATGCTCAAAGTAATGTGATTTCCAATAGAAAAATCTAAGAAAAATCCAAACAGACTGT